ACACACTGTAGCGACGACGACGGGAAAAAGGAGGAGACAAAATATCTACATGCCTTATTCACAGCCAATGGTTACCCACGATCCTTCATACGTGAGTGCCGACGAAAGACTACCCGTCAGCGATCAGACGGTGAGAAGCCGAAGTTTTGGCTGGCGATCCCCTACGTGAAGAATGTTTCCGAGGCGACAGCTAGAATCCTAAACCCTTTTGGGATTGGGGTGGCCCATAAACCGGAATCCACCATCAGACAGCAGATAATGAGACCCAAAGACCCGCTACCGGCAACGGAACAATCAGCAGTGGTCTACAGCATACCGTGCCAAAATTGCAATGCACGGTATGTTGGTGAAACGGGGAAACGCCTCTGCACAAGACTGCATGAGCACCAGCTTGCAGTCAACCGCGAGGATAAACTGTCACTGGTATATGGCCACATGCAACAGGAGAAACATAGTTTCGCCTTTGGGGAAGCAAGCGTCCTCAGTCGAGCCCATGACAAGATGGCTAGGCTGGTGCTCGAAAGCTGGTCCTCAGTTGGCACAATCAACAGGGCTATTGATCTTCATCCGGCCTACCAGGCGCTGCGTACAAGACTCCAGTCAGTCCAGACGGGGCCGACAGTACAGGCGAGGGAGTCGCGGCTCCTCCAACAGTTGTCACCTTCACAGCAGGGGGAAGGAGCCAGCCGGAGGTCACACGACGAACGCGAGACATCGCCCCACCGGCGCGCCCAGACAGCCGAGCGTGATTCGCACATGCAACGGCAACTGATCAGTCCATCCGATTATGAGGTGAGGGCCCATGAGCACACAGGATTGGCATCGATTACGACAGCCGGTCAGGGGGCAGAGGTCACAGGAGCGCGTCATTGGCTGCCCGCGGAGGAACCAAAGCCAATCCCCAGCCAGAAGGCAGGTCAGAGTTCGTGCGTCAGGCATGCTTATAACACAAGACAGGCGGCGAGGCAGAACAACTTCGAGCAAGCAGGAACAGACACCCCACCACTCTGATGATGGAAACGAGGAAATTTCCGAAACGTCAGCACCAATACACTGTGGTCCATGCAATCGCCCCTTTTTCTTCTTCGTCTTCTTTTGGGGATGATGAACGGGATAATTTATCAGGACCTCGAATCTTTACTCATCTTGATATATATATATATATCTATGTACTGGAAGATGGGCATCCCAAGAAACATAATTCAAAGAAGAATGAGTCCTTTGGGAAAATGAACAAACTTTATTTCGTAAATTCTCGATTCTGTCTCCCCAGCTCGTCGTCAGACGTGTAGTAGAGGTGAAGAAACAGTCAAAATTTAAACAATGCCGAAAAAATCGATATTGCTCTGTCATGGCTGAGGATGGGTTAATGCTGTGGGCTGATGTCACCTCTTGATTGGCTGTTACCTTTTCCATTTTTCTTTGAGATTTGTGTACATGGTATCAAGGTCGATGCGTCGATTGATGCATGAATCATCAGAGTGAATGGCCTCTAGGAATTCTCGGCCTTTCTTATATGGGCAGGAACCGACAATGCGTGTTTTGTCCCAAGCGAATTTGTGCCCAGTTTCAAGAGTATGCATGGCGACTTGGGATAAGTGGTCCCGCCTCTTCACTGCCAGTTGGTGTTCATGTAGGCGTGTAGAGGCGGATTTTCCGGTTTGACCACAATACACTGCATTGCAAGTGCCACATGGAATCTTATAGACTACTTCTTTCTTATCCAAATAGCCAACGCTATCCTTAGGGTGTACAAGCTGATTGCGTAGCGTGGTAGTTGGTTTGTGAGCCACTTGTATTTGGTGCTTCTTCGGGTGTCTTTCAACGTGCTCAGACACATTTTTAATGTAGGGAAGCGTTCGCCAATGTTTTGGTTTTGGCGTCTGATCGGAACAATCTAGTTACTTCTCTCGTTCTTTTGATTCCTGCTCTTTCATGCATTGGCGTACAAAATCTCTAGGGTAGCCGTTTTGGGAAAATAGGTTGAATAGATAATTGAGTTCTTCTTTGTAACCTTTGTTCTCAGAGCAATGTGTCTTTGCTCGATTAAGTAGGGTCTTAACAGCACTCCGTTTGTGAGCCATAGGGTGGTTGCTCTCGTAACGTAGGATAACTTCCGTGTAAGTTTCTTTGCGGTATACTGATGTCTGGAATGTCCCGTCAGTTTTTCGCTGTACGAGGACATCAAGAAACGGGAGTTTGCTGTCAGCTTCTCTTTCGAGCGTGAACGTAATTCCCGGTAGTGTTGAGTTGATAGCTTTATGCAGAGTTTCTAGCTGATCTCTCTTGACGATGACAAAGGTGTCATCTACGTAGCGTAACCACAATTTGGGATTGAATAATGGTAAGGCCATAGCCTCTAATTTTTGCATTGTGACTTCAGCCAAAAAGCCAGAAATAGGTGACCCCATAGGAGCTCCTTTCAGCTGTCGATAACATTCATGTGCGAACGAGAAGTTCGTTTCCAGACATAGGTCCAAGAGTTCAAGCAAAGCAGATGCAGGAACATCCATGTCATCGGATTGTAAGAATTCTTCTGTGCAGTGCCTTGCCAAGTCGAGTGGTATGGACGTGAATAGAGAGATGACATCGAACGACACCATTATCTCATCTGATTCAATAGTGAGTCCTCTTATCTTGTCTAGGAATTCAACTGAATTCTCGATTGAAGTCACAATGCAAAAATTAGAGGCTATGGCCTTACCATTATTCAATCCCAAATTGTGGTTACGCTACGTAGATGACATGTGGCACTTGCAATGCAGTGTATTGTGGTCAAACCGGAAAATCCGCCTCTACACGCCTACATGAACACCAACTGGCAGTGAAGAGGCGGGACCACTTATCCCAAGTCGCCATGCATACTCTTGAAACTGGGCACAAATTCGCTTGGGACAAAACACGCATTGTCGGTTCCTGCCCATATAAGAAAGGCCGAGAATTCCTAGAGGCCATTCACTCTGATGATTCATGCATCAATCGACGCATCGACCTTGATACCATGTACACAAATCTCAAAGAAAAATGGAAAAGGTAATAGCCAATCAAGAGGTGACATCAGCCCACAGCATTAACCCATCCTCAGCCATGACAGAGCAATATCGATTTTTTCGGCATTGTTTAAATTTTGACTGTTTCTTCACCTCTACTACACGTCTGACGACGAGCTGGGGAGCCAGAATCGAGAATTTACGAAATAAAGTTTGTTCATTTTCCCAAAGGACTCATTCTTCTTTGAATTACGTATGTATATATTTGGAGGGTTAGAAGCAGAACCCTTGATGACCCTACTTATGTACAGTGCTTTCGCTGATTCGTACTCAAAAATAAAATTGCAGGCATTTACAATATGATCGAGTCACAGTTCAATCGTAATCATAAGGTGGTGCATAATGTCACTGTAAATTTGTGCGGAGGGTTTTTACAAAAATGGCTGTGCATAGTCATGCTGTAAAAGCTGATGCCTGTCGAAAACTAGACGAGCAAGTTTTGTTTAAATCAAACAAATTGTGTCAGCCGTCACCATCTCGCTTGGAAGTGAGTTGCACGATCGGACGACCCGCTGGCTAAATGAAAATTTTCGACGGTCTAACCGCGTGCGCTCATTCCCGACTTTGTAGACATGGCCGCGTAGTTGCTTTGTGCGGGCAAACTCGAAGAAGTCCTCTGCTCTTAACCAGCAACCCTGGCCGCGGACAATCCGGAAAGGCTATAGTAGACTGCAGTCTATTTGTATATAAGAGAGAGGGAATAAGTCAAGCAAATGCAGCCTCTCCTGATAAGACAAATGCTTTAGACCGTCGACCATCTTTGTCGCCCTGCGTTGCACCTGTTCGAGTAAGTCGATATCCTCCCTCTTCCATAGTGAAGATGCTGGCATTCCATACTCCAGATGAGGTCTTACAAAGACACCAAAGAGTTTTTCAAAGAGTTCGGGAGGAAATATTTTAAATGCACGTCTGATCCAGTGTAGAGTACTAGTTGTCTTCTGGACCATCTTTTCACAGTGTTCTGATGGCGATAGATTTGTGGTCGTCCATACACCCAGACCTCTGTGTCTTTCCACCGTTTCTAACCTCGTCCCGTCAATAAAGTACTGGTGCTTGGGAGAGGCATTGCGGCCTGTGTTGAGGTGCAAGACCACGCATTCGGACACGTTAGACTTCAAAAGCCATCTGCTCGACCAAGCACACAGTCTGTCTATGTTCGACTGCAACTTCTCTGCGTCATCATCGCACTTGACTTCGCTCAATATTTTTATGTCATCCGCGAACATGAGGGCCTCGCCATTCACTTCGCTGATGCAGTCATTGACATAAATCAGGAAGAGTACTGGGCCTAAGACAGAACGCTGTGGGACACCACTTTCCACCTTTGCCCATCCCGAGGTAGAGTTACCAACGATGGTCCTTTGTACTCTGGAGGACAGAAAACTCCTGATCCACTTGAATGCTCTCCCTTGAATTCTTACATCCCAGATCTTCTGTAAAAGAAGCCTGTGTGGAACACTGCCAATGGCCTTCTTGAAGTCAAAAAGTATGACATCCACTGAAAAACACTTATCGGTAGCTGGTGCCCATTTCTCGTGCGAGTAAAGAACACTTGTTAGGCGGGAGCGTCCTGGACGAAAGCCGTGTTTGGCATCACACAATATTTTGTTCTGTTCCAGGTATTTCATCAAGTGTCTTTTGATAATGCGTTCCATTATTTTACAGACGATTCAAGTAAGACTGATGGGACGATAATTTCCGCAGTCAAGTCTTGAGCCTCCTTTATGGATCGGAGTAATGAGTGTGCACTTTCATTCTTCCGGGAGCCCGCCGTCTTCAAATGACTTAAGAAATATTGTGGATAAGGGCTTGCACAGTTCACTAGCAAGTTCACGAAGTGCTGGTGCGGAAATTCTATCTGAGCCAGACGATTTGGCAGGTTTCAGCCGGAGTAGCTCGGCCCTAACTATGGTGGATGAAAAGAGTTGTTCCTCGGTTAAGGAGGGTAGGGAGGGTGTTGGAAGGGGAAGAGTACTTGGAGGAGAGGTTGGTTTGCGAACGGATGGATAGGCAAATATAGAACTAGGTACTCGAGTTAAGACGGACTGACAGAAGTCGGAAAGAAGGGACGCTTTAACCTGGTCATCAGTCTCCACTTTTCCATCTGTAGACCTAAGGGCAGGGACCAGCTCTTGAGTCTTTTTAGCACTTCGTATATAACCATATAGAATTTTCGGATGCTCCAACGAATTTCGAAGTATGTCCAGTTCAAACTTCCTTCGCAGCTCTGAGGCCTCACTCTTACAAACGTTTCGTTGTTGCTTATATTCCTGTACGTGTCCTATCGAGCTAGTTTATCTGTAACGCCTCAACAGACGATTCCTTTTTCTGAAAGAGGCCTTTAAGTCCGGGTTTATCCACTTTGGGCGGCTTATGGTTATTTTTCTTCTGCGAGGACAATTGGAATAAACAATCTCTTTCAGTAAGGAACTGAAAGTAGTCCAGTTTTCGTTTGCTCGATCATGCAGCTCAGTCTCTCATGATACAGCTTCCGCTTCCCTCCTCATGAGAGAATAGTCCCCTTTCCAAATGTTTCTCTCCCACCAATCGGGTTGAACGGATTCGGAAAACAGTGAGAATTCGAAGTAGAGTGTGATGTGGTCGCTTGACCCTAATGGCGGTAGGTCCTGCAGGTCCAAAACATTTTCCTCCTCTCGGGTGAAAATAAGATCAAGGCAGTTCGACTGCTGTCCTTCCCTGACCCGTGTTCCAAAGGTAACATTCTGGCAGAGAAGTTTGTCCGTTGCCCATTGTAGTAGTCTGTGATTAAAGCTGCCTTGCGGCCCTTGTGCGGTCCATATAATAATAATAATTTTAGTTAATGCCAGTTTGTAGTTATTGTCAGGGAAGCGTTAAACAAATCCGGCCAGCAGTGAAAAAAAACTCATGTGGAAAAGGAATAAAAATATAGTTGATGGTGTTTTTCATGTTTTGGAAGACTCAGGAGAAAAAAACTGCTGG